AATGAAAGTGTATATATTATAGGATGAGATGTGATTTTGAGAATATGAAATAAGGTGATGTCTTTTGAATATAAAGGGTGTTGTGCAATTTTTGGGTTTGCCTCTTTTTAGTCTTTTTGATCAACCCTCTTTTATATAGAAAAATGATATATACTAAAAATTAATACAAATAGAATAAACTTGAACCATAAATCAAAATCAAAAGAAAAATGTAGAATGTATAAATATCTAAAATTGAGAATTTTAAAATCTTGAATTGTGGACTAATGATTATGACCGGACTTTGAGTATTTCTTAAATCTTGAAATGTGGTTGATTTTGGGTTGTCCCATATTGATAAAAAAAACAAAATGTTGGAAGATGTAGTTGTGTGTGTATGTGTGTGTATATATATATATCTATATATACTATACAAAGCATTTGACAAACAAAAATTTAAAAATCATTTTTATGCATTAAATATTGTTTATTGATATACATTACTTATAATTCTAGATTACAAGTAAATAGTTTGTATGTACAATTTATTAAAGCTCAGTGTTTAAATTCGTGTAACTAATTGCAAATAAACATAATCAAATACTAGATATGTATCTCATTTTAAATATAAAAAATCTAAAATATATTTAGGATTATCATTGAATCCTAAAAAAATACTAATTATTATCTTTATACAAAAATTATTTTATTAAACCAACAATAAATAACTTCATTATTAAATCTAAACTAAATCATAATAAAAAAATTGAATTAAAAAAATTACAAAAAAAAAACTAAAACTTTTAAATATTTAATTTGATATTAAAATTGATGTATTTTTAAGAAAAAAATTTATAATAATATTTTTTCAAAAAATAATAAAAAAGTTCATTTAACTGTACAAGTCATGTTTGTCCTCCAATATTTGGAGTAAATAGTTAACTTTTTATTATAAAACTTTATCATTAATTCTAATATAGATAACCATCAATATCTTTATATATAATAAAAGAGAAACAAAAGACCATGAGTTGACATTCAACATTCCTCAAATCTTGAAATGTAGTTGATTTTGAGTTATTTCACGTTGATAAATAAACAAAATGTTGGAAGATGTAGTGTGTGTGTGTCTATATCGATCTATCTATCTAACTATATACTAGAAGAGGGCTCGTACAATGCAGCGAGATACATCTTCATTTTAATGTTTCGCTTTATTTTTTGTCTATGTTGATATAGTACGATTTATGTGGTTTTAATAAAGATAACGTTTTTACTTTTTAATAAAAATATATTTGAAGATATCATAAAAATTTGAAAAAATATATCGATATTAATATCAAATTAACTATTTAAAAGTTCTTTTTTTGTACAATTTCTTTAATTTAATTTTTTTATTATAATTTAATTTATGCAAAGTAATATATTTTTGGCTTAAATATGTAACTTTTATAAAGATAATGATTATGTTAGTACTCAATAATTATCTTAATTATAGTTTAAATTTTTTATATTTAAAATAAAATATTTATCATGTATTTGATTATGCTTATCTCCAGTTAGTTATACGAATTGAAAATGGAGCTTTAATAAGTTGTACTTACGTACAATTTACTTGTAGTCTTAAAATTTAAGTAATTTACATTAATAAACGATATTTCATGCATAAAAAAATGTTTTTAATAGTTTTTGTCAAATGTTTTATAATATAGTATATATATATATATATATATATATATTATAGTGTTAGAGATTCTTAGAAAGTTAACAATGTTGGTTGGCTATATATTCTACACTTGGCTACAAGTTTTGGATCGAAGTGAAATGTTGGAAATTAAAAGGTTCATTTGGGTATATAAATCATGTTTGTCCTCCAACATGAAGTAACTAGTAAACTTTTTCTATAAAACTTAATCATTAGTTTCAATATAAATGATCATCAATCAATATATCTTTAACTTTATATATAGAAAAGGAAAACCATGAAGTTTGATGTGACACCATGACAATTGAGTGTTCTCAAATGGTGAATTATGGTTGAGTTTTAGTTGTCTCACGATAATGAAAGGTTGAAATATTTGAACAAAGTGGTGTGTATAAAAAGGTGGATTGAATGTTTTTGTATCAATTCATGAGGTTTGACTCATAAAATTGTCTTATTTTAGATGACATTCTTTGAAATTTATAACCATAGCTGAAATCAAAACCAACTAAATGATAAAAAAAAATATAGTGCAAAATTAAAAGTGAAACCAAATATGATGACTAGCCAACCAGAGGTTTGAGTATTCCTCAAATTTTGAAATAAGGTTGACTTTCATCATATCATATTGGTGGAAAGATAATAGTTTGGAAGAAGATGATGAATATATAAAAGAATGATGAATGATTTGAAATCTATAACCAATGGATGAAATCAAAACCAACCCAATAGTGAAATGTTGTTGCAAAACACAAAGTTGAAAACAAATTATTGTGCAAAACACAAAGTTGAAAACAAATTATTGTGCAAAACACAGTCAAAACATCAAACAAACACCAAATTGAAAACAAATTATTCATTTAAGAAAATATCAATCGATTTGAAATAAGGTTGAGTTTCATCATCCCCATTGGAGGAGAGATGATGGTTTGGAAGAATATGAAGAATATATAAATGAGTGATGAATGTCTTGAAATTTATAAACATGGTTGGAATCAAAATTAACCAAATAATAAAATTATAGTGCAAAATATACGGTTAAAATCTCATGCAAATAATAGTTAGAAACAAATTTAAATATAAAAGTAAAAAACCACAACATTGATGTTGACCGGGATGATTGACAATGAATGATATGCATCATAAAAAGAGGTTGGAATGTCTTTGTGACAACTCATGTGGTTGACTCTCTTTAACTGATTCTCTAACTCATGTTGTTGGTTGATTGGTTCGTTTTGACCGATCCTATGAAGTCATGGAGTTGGAATGACGCACGCACATGGATTTGTTATTTTGACCCATACTCTAAACAAAATATATTAAATATTCTACTTTGCATTTCATTATAAGTAAATTAACGAACCACATTTCATCTTAATTTTATTACATGATTTTTAAATAAACAAAATTTGTTACCATGTAACGTGCATTGAGAAACATTAGTTTTATAGATTATTTGATTTTTTGTTTTTATAAATTATGATTTTAAGAAAGAATTAAAAACTTAGAAGGTGTTTGAGATTGCTTATAAAAACAATTTATTAACTTATTTTGGTGTGATTCCGATAATAAGCACTTTTGAGTGTTTGGATAACCAGCTTATACTGATACCAAACTGGTAATAAGGAGCTTTTAAAAAAGTTAAATCATTCTAACTTATAATAAGTTAATAAGGACTTTTATATAAAACCATAAGGTGACGTTTGGTTCGCAGGTTTTGGAGGAATCTGATGGAATTGAAATGTTGAATTCCATTGACCAAATTCCATTCCCTCGTTTGGTTCATTCTTTTTCACGGAAGTAATCTTCAAAATTCTACAAATAAAGGAATTTAACATTCCTTAGCAACTGCATGATATTTTGATGGAATGAAATCTCTATCTTTTATTATACCAAATATGCCCTTAACCTAATATAATCTAATCTCATAAAACTCAATATGACCATCGTCGACCACCTCCGACCACTATTAATCTGAACCACCGCTGACCACCACCACCGACTACCACCGATCTGACCCACCGCTGACCACCACCACCGACTATCACCGATCTGACCCACCGCTGACCACCACAACCGACTACCACCGATCTGAACCACCACTGATCTGAACCACCATCGACCACTACCGATCTAAACCACCGTTGATCTGAACCACCATCGACCACTACCACTCTAAACCATCGCCGACCACTACCGATCTAAACCACCTTTGATTTGAACCACCGTCGACCACTACCTATCTAAACCACCATCAGACACCGCCGATTTGAGCCACCATTGATCTGATTCACCGTCAATCTAAACCACCACCGATAACCGCCATCTGAACCACCATGGACCACCACCGATCTGAACCACTGTCGACCATCGCCATCTGAACCACCACAGACCACCATCGATCTGAACCACCGCTAACTACTACCAATCTGAAGCACCACCGATCTAAACCACCATGACCATCACCGATCTGAACCACATCCGACCATCGTCACCTGAACCACAACGGACCATCATCGATCTATATCACTGTTAACCATCGACGACTACCATCAATCTGAATCACCATCGGACACCACCGACCACCAACGATTTGAACAACCACAGCCGCCACTGCCTATTTAAACCACCGCTGACCACCTCCATTTGAACCACTGCGGATCACCATCGATCTGAATCACTGTGAACCACCACCATCTGAACCACTGTGGACCACCACCGATCTGAACCACTGTGGACCACCACCGATCTGAACCACTACCGACCACCGTCGATTTAGTAACGTCGTTTGTCTTATGATTATATTTGGGTTGTGTATYTTATATTGTTTTACATATTAAATAATTATTTTATTAAAATATTTTTAGTTTTAAGAAAATTAAAATTTTCAAAAAAAGGCATTTTGGTCATTTACCAATATTTATTTCAATTCTAAAGCTATATTCTGTGAACCAAACAGACAGATTCCATTTTAATGTCTGCCAACTAAACAGGTGGTCAAACCTGACAACATTCTATTCCAATTTATTCAAAGTTAAATTCCTTTAACAAATTTCATTTCATCCAAAAATATTATACGAACCAAATGACACTTAATTATTTTCAAATAAGCAAATCCCAATCATGCCCTTGGCAACAAAATTAAAAATAAAATAAAATTAGCAGTTCATGTTCCTTGTCACCAAACGCCCCTCCCATGGTTTCTTTTGAAAATTCAAGTCTTTGTATATTCATCATCAGAGATATCACCAACTCTAGGTCAAATCGTCGTGAACCCGCCATTAAGAACAATCCATTAATCAGTTGTTCTTCAAATTACTTTGATTTCATGAGACGAAGACATCGACGGAACCAGGGGACTTCAAATTAACAAACCAAGAGATCGATTCTGCATCAATTTGAGGTTGATTAGGTGATTCAATTTCCACCATCTTTACTAGCATTAGTAATATGTATATGAATCTTAATCATATGCAATGAGTCGCAATTTACTTACGAGGCATGTAGCTGCTGTTGTCAAATACCAAAAAGACCCACTTCGAGCGCTACAAATGTTCAATTCTGCGAAAAATGAAGATGGGTTCAAGCATAATCTGATAACTTACAAGTGTATGATTGAGAATCTCGGTCATCATGGCGAGTTTGAAGCAATGGAAGGTGTGTTTGTAGAGATGAGGATGAATATTGATAATTGTTTGCTAGAAGGCGCTTATGTATCTGCAATGAAGAGTTATGGTCGAAAGGGAAAGGTTCAAGAAGCTGTTAATGTATTCGAAAGAATGGATTTCTACAACTGCGAACCAGGTGTTCATTCGTATAATGCAATTATGAATATATTGGTTGAAAATGGGTACTTTAATCAAGCTCATAAAGTTTATATGAGAATGAAAGATAAAGGAATTGTTCCTGATGTATATACTTTTACTATTAGGATTAAATCTTTTTGTAGGACAAGAAGATCTTTTGCTGCTCTTAGGCTTCTTGAGAATATGCCTTTGTTAGGATGTGAGTTCAATGCGGTGGCTTATTGTACAGTGATAGGTGGATTCTATGAGGAAAATAATCAAGCTGATGCACATAAACTGTTCGATGAAATGCTTAAGAGAAGTATCTTTCCTAATGTTGTCACTTTTAATAAGCTTATACACACACTTTGCAAGAAGGGGGATGTTCAAGAAAGCGAGCAGCTTTTCGACAAGGTGTTAAAGAGGGGTATGTCTCCAAATGTGTTTACGTTCAATATCTTTATTCAAGGCCTGTGCAAAACTAAACGGCTAGCTGAGGCCACCAGGATTTTGGGCTGTGCCAGTCGAGAAAATCTAGCTCCGGATGTTGTTACATTTAATACACTTATATGGGGTTTATGCAAGAGCTTGAAGGTCGTGGAGGCTGAAAGTTACTTGAAAAGCATGGTAAATAAGGGGCTCGATCCTGATGATTTCACATACAACACAATTATTGACGGGTATTGCAAACTGGGCATGGTAAAAAGAGCGTTCGCAATCTTGAACGATGCAGTTTTCAAAGGGTTTAAGCCCGATAAGTTCACATATTGCTCTTTGATCTATGGATCTTGTCAGGATGGTGACACAGATAGAGCCATGGCTGTTTTTAGAGATGGTTTACGTAAAGGTGTGAAACCGACCACAATTATGTACAACACCTTGATCAAAGGTTTGGCTAAGCAGGGGCTTATATTGCAGGCTTTGGAGCTGATGGATGAAATGCCGAAAAATGGTTGTTCTGCCGATATATGGACTTATAATCTGTTGATAGATGGTTTGTGCAAGATGGGTTGTGTATTGGATGCCAATAACCTCATGAATGATGCTTTGGCTGAAGGTTTCATTCCCGATATTTACACATTCAACATTCTGATAGATGGTTACTGTAAGCAGTTGAAGATGAACGACGCCCTTGAAGTCATGAATAACATGTGGGACCATGATGTAAAGCCCGATGCCATCACCTATAACACCGTGTTAAACGGTCTTTGTAAGACAACCAAGTCTAAAGAGGTGGTTGAAACTTTCCATGAAATGGTGGGCAAGGGTTTTGTTCCTAACGTAATTACTTACAACACATTGATTGAAAGCCTCTGTAAAGCTCGAAAAGTGGATAAAGCCATGGAAGTTTTCAGCGAAATGGAGAAAACCGGCTTAACTCCAGATGAAGTTAGCTATGGCACGTTGATAAACGGGTTCTGCGAAAATGGAGATCTTGAAAGAGCCTACGAACTCTTCCAAAACAAGAAGAGCGAACCTAATCTTCGCCACACAACTCCTACATTCAATATCATGATAAAGGGTTTCAGTGAGAAGCTGAAGATGGATGATGCAGTGAAGGTGTTCGATGAAATGCCTGACTACGGCTGCACACCAGACAACTACACTTTTCGTTGCATGATTGATGGGTTTTGCAGGATCGGAAATGTCGACTTGGGTTACAAATTTCTTGTTGAGAAGATGAACCATGGATTCATACCATCAGTTGCCACATTTGGGCAGGTGATAAATTGTCTGTGTGTGAAACATAAAGTGCATGAAGCAGTAGGTATCATCCATGTAATGGTGGAGAAGGATGTGGTTCCAGATACTGTAAGAACCATATTTGAAGCAGATAAAAGGGTGGTGGCAGCTCCAAAGATTGTTGTGGAAGATTTGTTAAGGAAGAGTCATATTACTTATTATGCATATGAAGTATTGTATGATGGCATAAGAGATAAGAAGATGCTAAAGAAAATTAAGAGAACTTGAATCAGTAATCCAAATTTATACTTTGAATTTACTGTTTTTCCAAGTGTAAAGTTGTAAATATTAGAGCAACTTATGGTTTTGGTTAATGTGGTATTCGTGTTTTTTTTTTTTTGGTTTTCGTCTCTTGGTTTCGTTTATTATTGAAAAGAAAACGATTATGGTGTGAATTTTTGTCCCTTTTCCTAACTCTGTCAATCCCAAGGGTAAAATTGTTATTTTAGGAAAAGACAAAAACAAAACCCTAAACCCTCCTCCACCCCCTTCTGTTCTGCCATCGTTTTCCTAGCTGCTCGATTGTTTCTCTATTCGTTGCATCATTTAGACTAAGGGACAAAATTGCTTACTGTACACTTATCGTATCTTACCAGATAAGAGCTGATTATCTAGTAAAAGATGATGATCTTTACCAAGAATTTTATCGTGGTGTTCGAGAAATCTTACCCGGTAAGTGAATTGATATTCGTATTCAATTCTAATATCATATAATTTATATATCTATATATAAAAAAAAACAAGAATGATTGTTAGAATATGTTTTGTCTAAAGCAATTTTCTCCTTGTTTTGAGTTTTTAAAATATTATATATAAGTTAAAAGACTATTCAACCCCTAAACCAAAAAATGTATACTTCATTATATGAAGGTTTCTTTGGTAATTTCACTTTCAATTTAAATATAGGGGGAGACTAATGACGCCCCTATCCCCTTTGTAATGACACCCCTATTTCTTATATAATCATTTTTTTTCTTTTCTTTTTGTGTTTTTGTCTTTTTGTTGTCTTTTTCTTTTTTATACTAATTTTCTTTTACTTATTTTATTTAATTACAAAAATTATTTATTATTCTTTTAATAATTATTACTAAAAAATATTATTTTTATCATAATTTCTATAAAAATATTATATATTTTATTTTCTTTTTTAATATTTTTCTTAAAAGGTGTTATGTTTTTCTAATAATCATTTTAAAGGAAAAAAAAATATATATATATATATATATATATATACAAGAAGCGTACTCGCGCAATGCAGCGAGATACATCGTGTTTTTAATATTTCATTTTATTTTTTTATCTCAGTCGATGTTAT